AGCAAAAAAAAAAAAAGAAATCAAATTACAAGCAAATGAACTAGCAATTAATATGAACCAAACAACAAACAAACAGCAAACAAACAAACAAAAAACAACACAAATACAAAAAACTGCATATGTACTAAAAAAACAAAATATTATTATAATACATCTATTTCAAGAAACGTCGGTAGGAAATCTGAAATCTGAGACCAAATTGACTTGTGGGTCGTAAGCTGGTAACTGTTTTGTGATTTTAATTAACAATTCGCATTAATATTTATATATAGGATATTACATGGCCGCTTGGAGATACGAATTTTATCTTCGAGTGTTCAATTGATATCTCACRAGTGAGCGCACTCCAAGCGGCCATGTAATGTTCTGTTTATTACATAGATATCGATGAAATTTAAATAAGACAAAAGCTCAAAAATTCAACAGCGATATCTTCGCGTGTGAAAGATATGGTATCTTCCACTGATGAAAGATATCAAGTTTTCGACACTAGAGAAAACCTGGTATTTCATCGATATCTATATAATAAACATAAATATTTCCTACTTTGAGGGATGACCTGTGCTAACGACCTATCTGTCTCTTGTGCTTTGATTTTTTAACGAGAAAACACTTAATTCACACAATTCCACTTGGTCTCAGATTTCAGATCCACAACCAGCAACGTTTTTTGAAATAGGTGTATGCAATATTGTAAGTAAAAAAATAAAATCTTAGAAATCCTTGCAAGTCGAGGAACTGAAAACGACTTGTCATTCAGTATTTATATTTAATCCAGCTAATACACGAATATTCTTTTTGTCACAATCCATAAATTATATAGAGGATATTACATGGACGCGTGGAAATATAAATTTTATCTTCGAGTGTTGAAAAGATCTCTCACAAGTGAATGTAGCGAATGAGCGAGAGATTTTCAACACGAGAAGATAAAATTCGTATCTCCAAGCAGCCATGTAATACTCTGTTTATTATATAATTATCAATGAAGTATGTTTTGGCTTTTTCAGGCAATTCTTTCCATATATTTTTGAATAGCCATCGCAATGGTGTTATTTTCACACGTGAAAGTAACATGTTATTTTCACGTGTGAAGATATCAATTTTTTGAAATAGAGAAAAATAGATATTTCATTGGTAATTATATAATAATAATAAATATTTATTGTGAAATCATTGCTTTCATTCATAATATTTAATAGCCGAGCACAATATTCTATTTTTCATTAATTACATTTTCTATGATTTCAACATCTGATTATGTATATATATAATATGCATTCATTCTTTTTACCAAATTGAATAAAAACGTCGTCAGGCTCAAAATGTTAAATCATCACAGGGTTTGAAATAACTGCCGGTCAACGGTCAATGTTTGACCTAATATGGCACTTGACAGGTCAGATAGAGTTTTAAAGGGACATGTTAACAAGTCATATTTAAAAAATAAAAAAAAATAAAAAAAATATTCAACCTTGACCGTCCAAAAATTAGCAAAGACCTGTCAAAATGTATTTGGCAGGACATCTTGACTTATGACCAGCTGTAATTTTGGGCCCTGCTTTAAGGCTAAGGGCACGAGGTATTTTGGCTAGCTGTGGCCTAGGCATTCAGAAAGTTTTTGCATACAGACACATGCACTAAGAGTGCTAAAATGCTTTGTTCACTGACTGTGAATCTATGTTCAAGCGCCTGCAAAACTGCATTATTCATGTAATGTTAATAGGTCATTTCACGGATCCCATTACTCAACCTCAGCCTCGTCAGCGTGTAATATATTCTTTAGAAATTGCCTACAACCTGTGAAATTTTTAAGTGTTTCAATTGTTCGTTGATGTGTAAATTCCTTTCATTACTGCGGACTGTAGTCAAATTCTAAAGAATAATTACACGAGCCGCGGGATCTGTGAAATGGTCTATTCTATCTACACAGAACACCCTTTGGTCTTAGCTTCGATAATTTAACCTTTTCAATTTGACAATGTTTTTTCAATAAATTTTAGATAACCGGTACTGATTTGTTCCATCGGCGGCTACTTACCTCATCTTAATGACTATTACAATGCAACTACTATAACTGTGGCCACCTAGACAGCGAGAACCAATCAAATTGTAGAATGAAGACAATACATTCCAACTTTGGATAGTGAAGCCAATCAGAAAGCAATAGCCTTTTGACATCTTTTTTATTCCCACGAGAAAATGACAAAGGCTATCTAGTTGTTTACATACATAACGTCAGGGTAAAATTAGCATTCTTGTGCAGTCTAGTTTTCTGATTGGCTCGACYACCCAAAGTTGGAATGCATTGTTTTCATTCTACATTTTTATTGGTTCTCTTGTATAACTGGTCTAAGAGGCCATGGTTACAGAAGTCATAACGTAAGAGAAATGCAAGAAGATATGGAGGGTTTGGAATGAATATTGCAATAAATATTTCATTCAAGGTATCCTTGTCTTTCCATGTTTATACCATGTTGTAGTTCTGGTATTAGCTCCGGAAGGAAAATCTCCAACAAGATGTAAATTAATATTCTGTCCAAGACAATAGCAAAAAAATAGATTTAATACTTATAGGCTTTTGGTGAAGTTGCAAGTTTTCAAGAGAACTGAAGAAGTAGAATAAGAAGGAATGCATAGAAATATGTCTGGGATGAATGGATAAAACACAGATTGATGGATGAGTTGAAGGATAGGCTTATTAGTGGATGAGGAACAGAGGGAGGGAAAGACAGATGGATGGGATGGGTAGGAAGGGATGGATGGAGTCGGATGGATGGGAAGAAGTGAATGGGTGGGATGGATGGATGGAAGGATGGATGGATGAATGAAGTGATGGGTGGGTGGGTGGATGGATGGATGTATGGATGGGTGGGTGGGTGGATTGATGGATGGGTGGATGGATGGATGAATGTACGTACAAATGGGAGAAATCTTAAAATAAAGTTGTTTACCTATTGATAGCAGGGTTTTGTAGAGACTCCACTGCATTGCTTGCACAATCTTTGTACACCCGAGACCCAACCAATAAAGGAAAAAGGTCTGAAAATTAAAATAATGAAATACTAGAGAAAGAAAAACTTAAAGATAGAAAATGGAAAGGTGAATGGGCCAATCTAATGGGGGAGGGCAGGGGATTGTGGATCCCCAACCTAGGTGTGATGATCTTTTTAATAATATTGAGTATGACTTGATGTGCTGCCTCATCGGCTTGCCCTGAACATAAATCTTGCACTCCTCCTAAAACAATCCTGCATTACAGCCATTCCCTCTAGCGATTGTTTCTGCCGCGACGAAGAAGCTTTTGGTGGACGTCAATCAAGGTGTTTCCATGAAATTATATAGGCACGTGACCTTATAGCTTTGTGTTTTCCGACATGTTATGGAAAAGCCTTGTGATTGACGTCCACCAAAACCTTCTTCGTCATGACAGAAAAAATCACTAGAGGGCGCATGATTTAGAATGGCTGTAATGCCCTGATTAAATGGGTCTTATGCTGATTTTAAAATGGAAATATATAATTTTATTGCAGCAGCACAGTAAAATATTGCAGTATCATCAACAGCTTAAGGGATTGAAATTATTAGTCAGTAAGTCACTGGTCATGATGACAGGTTAAATTAATTTTAACTTGGCCACACCTCGTTTCTGGCTCAATGTTACTGGTTAAAATGACCAGCAAGGCAAAGATTTGACCAAACAAGTACCAATCTGGGCAGACATTGTTCGATGTCCTGTTGTATTTTAAGCCCTGACCTAAGTCAAGAGAGCAAAGATGGATCATTTTAGCCCAAGGGGCCGCAGCCCCTCTTTTATTTTGCTCAGTCAAGAGACCTCTAGAAAACAGCAAAGCTTTCTAACCCCCTCCAATTTTTTCCGACTCCTGGTTCTGCCAATGCAAAATTCATTACCTGGAAAAAACTCCATCAGTGTTTTAATGGCTTTTATCTTTGTTTTCTCTTTTTCTTCCTCTGATTTCTGCTCCCCCGAGGGTTCAAAGAGCTTTCCATCAGGCCAAACCACTTGGATAAGGTTCTCTAGATAAAAACCCCAGTTGTCCTCTGTAAATAAATCATCTATTTCACTTCGCACAAACCTAAAAAGTAAAAAAATAAAATAAAATAAAATGTTGGTTCTAAATTAGCTTAAACCTAGATTAACTTGGACATGTTTTCCCAATTCAGACCATGCGTCATTCCCTTGAGTATCACTTCTTTGTTTAATGGTTACGCATGAGAAGACACATGAATATGAATACAACTCAAATGAAGAATCTTTTTCCCAAAATTTTAGACCATGTGTCATTCCCTTGAGTATCACTTCTTTGTTTAATGTTTACGCATGAGAAGACACATGAATATGAATACAACTCAAATGAAGGATCTTTTTCCCAAAATTTTAGACCATGTGTCTTCCCTAGAGAATGAGATTCTTTGTTTGAAATGTATTTATAATCATGTGTCTTCTCATGCGCAACCGTTAAACAAAGAAATGATACTCTAGGGAATGACACGTGGTCTGAAATAGGAAAGCATTTATATTTTTATTTTTATCAATCATTAAGAACATTATGCCTAAGCTGTAAAGTATTAGAGTGACCACAGTAAATCCGTGAAAC